TTCAGCCCAGCAAAGCAGGGAAGGGGTCAAGTGGCCGGTGTCTGCAGGGATGGAGAGCCCTGACAGTGAGATCTGCAGCCAAGCTTGTTGCTCCACCGTGTGCTGAGGAAGTTGGAAAGAGTCTCAGGCCCAAGTGCTGAGGAAGGGAGAGTTCACACCGCAGCCTGATCAAGGTGGGAGGCAAAGGAGGTGAGGCCAGACTTCTCCAGCAAAGGATGGGACATTTGCAGAACGGGTGCTGTCTTTGTAAAATTTCATCTCCTTCTGGAAAGGCTCAAGAAGAGGTTGGCCTGGCAGCCTGCTTTCCCTCCAGCCAGGATAACCCTCCTCAACTGTGAAAGCCAAGGCAAGCTGATCCCTGCCCTTCTGTGAGATGCCTTCTGTGCCTCTTGAAAATGCTTTTTTCGGTTATCCTTGTAAAAAAAAAAAAAAAAAAAAAGGGTTTGCATAATAAAGTCGATTCTGAGGGAAGATCTGTGACTCACATCATTCATGCTGCTCTTCATTCACACCTCAGTGGTTCAGCCTTCTGCAAACTCTCTGACTGAAGCAAGGCATTAATAAATCACGAGGAGAAAATGCACCTACACAGCACCAAAGGAGCACAGTGCCTCCAAGCCCAGGATGGTGTGGCACAGCAGTAGTTGCTTCTCACACCATGATCTTGTCCCTGTTGCTATTTGCAAATACTCTCACAAACACCTTGCTGTATTGTTTTAGGAGCAGGATACGTGGAAGGTAAAGCAGAAGGAAACCTGCCTTTCTCCCTGGCAAAAGGCTCCTAAGGAGAGAAGTTGGTAGCTTTCCACTGACTGTTGTGTTTGATCTTCACTGAACTCCTTGAAGGAGCGTTTCTGCATTAGCACCAAGCTGGTCTCACTCCGTGTGTCCCCCTGCCTCCTTTTCCTGCATCTTTGGTGCTGCTGCTCTGTGAATTGGTTCACCTTGTTGATCCGATGGAAGACTGAGCCTGAGGGTGAAGGAGGTAAACATGATCCTGTGGATCAGCCAGCTGAACCAATTCATCTCCCTCAAGGGAAGCAGCGTGATTTTGTGGCTTGGTGGGAAGAAATGGAGTCAGCCTGCAGCTGAGTGTGTTGAGCTGCACTGTGGAAACATTCACTCATGAAATGTGTGCATGGGATGTTTGGATCCTGGAAGGATCACGTTTTGTGTGAAGTTTCTGCTTTCTTGGCAGCAGCTTGTCTGCCTCCTGTGCTGCTGCAGGTCCTGGTGGGTGCCTGCCTCCTGTGCCCCATGGGGGTCTCCTTCCTGCAGAATATGTGGGGAGAGGCTTTGTTGTCTCTTGCAGGCAGGAAGGTGCTCTTCCTGCTCGCTCTGGCTTCCTGACTGCATGCTCTGTGGGAACACCTGAGGAGTCCCCCAGGCTTTGGGAGCAGAGGAAGGTTTGTGAGGCCTCTGCAGCAAAACACAGCAGGGATGAGAATGTGATGGGAGGAGAGGTTGTTCAGGCCCCTCTCAGTACCTGAGTCATGACCCCCTGTGCTGTCCCCGTGTGCTGGGGATGTTTGCTCCTGTTGGCCTGGGAGAAGACACAGTGGTTTCTCTAGGACCTGAACAGAGTCCTTGAAGCCACGTGAACCTGCATGACCCCTCAGCAGCTGGCAGCAGGGCCAGCAGCTCCCAGCAGGCTGTCGTGCAGTGAACTGTGTGCTGTGAGTCCCTCTCGTGCCTTGGCAGAGCCCTGGCTCTCCATCCCAGCCCTGCAGGGTCTCCCTCGCCTGGTGGGATCTCCCTTGCAGCAAAGAGGCAGAAAGGTGAGGTTCATCAAGTGCAGGAGGAGGTTGAAAACAAGTATTTTTGGAGCCTTCTGTCTCTTCTCCAGTCGCCCTGTGTGGCTGCAGCTGCTGCTTCCAATGTCTCTAGCACCTCAGCCCCGATGGAAGGGCTCCTGGTGCCATACATCTCTGGGCAGACCCCAGGAGCCCTGTGCCCCTCTGGGTGTGCTCTCCCACAGTGGGCACTCTGCCGTGCCACCTGATCTGCAGCCCGGGGCTTTTGGTGTTGGGAGTGCCTGTAGGACCAGGAAGCCAGGTTGGGGAGAGCCCGGCTGGGCAGAGGCCAGGTCTGGGGTTGTCCCTGCTCAGCGTGTCTCTGCCTTGTGTGTTGCAGTGTTCTTGGGGGCCAGGAACGCCCACTCGGTCCTGAAACGCTTCCCCAGAGCCAATGGCTTCCTGGAGGAGATCCGCCAGGGCACCATTGAGCGGGAGTGCATCGAGGAGGTCTGCAGCTACGAGGAGGTCAAGGAGGTGTTTGAGAACAAGGAGAAGACGGTGAGTTTGTCCTGCCCTGCTCCCCAGTGGATGTGTGAGGGCTCACACTTCAGCAAGAGAAGGAAAGCGCAGGGGGAACAGCCTCTCCTGCTCCCTTTGTCCTCCTCTGTCTGCAGGCAGCATGCTGTGGCCTCACTTTCCAGAATGGCTTTCCCTCCCCAGGCCATTGCCTTGGCTGTGCCAGGACACCCTGCCCACAGCTGCAGGTCGAGCTGGCACGCCCTTGGCACCTGGGAAATCTGTGCTGTTGTCCCTGACTCTCCAGGCTGGGGTTGGTGTGAGCTAAATTTCTCCCAGCTTGGTGTGGGGGCTGTTGGCCGCTGTTGAGGGATGTTCCCCTGACCTTCTTTGTTGGTTCCCACAGCACCTCAAGTGAAAGTGGTGGGGGACATCTGAAAAGCTGCCCCTTCTGTGGGACTGGGGAAGGCAGTGATTATTGCTGGTGGCTGTCAGGGGGTGCTTCTCCCTCCTGCAGCACATGATGGTTGTTTCTCTGCTCCCGCCACAGATGGAGTTTTGGAAGGGCTACACCAACTCTGTCTACTCTGTCAAGGACCCTGGGCACAGCACGGAGCGCTCTGACGCCATGTACGTGGTGGTGCCCCTGCTGGGAGTGGCCCTTCTGATAGTCATCGCCCTCTTCATCATCTGGAGGTGCCAGCTTCAAAAGGCCACCCGCCACCGCCCTTCCTACGCCCAGAACCGCTACCTGGCCAGCCGGACGGGACGCAGCCTGCCCAGGGTCATGGTGTACCGGGAGCGCTCCCAGAGCCAGGGGGAAGCCCAGTACCAGCGGGAAGCCAGCAGCCGGGGGGCTGGAGACGGCAGAGCTGGGGGCACCCCCCTCCAGCAAGACAACACCCTGTGCCCGCCAGAGCACTCGGCCTCCATCCTCTCCAGACTGTCCAGCGCCACCCCCCCGCCTTCCTACGAGGAGGTGACAGGCCACCCTGAGAGCAGCAGTGGGGAGGAGACCAGCGTCTCCTACAGTGACCCGCCGCCCAAGTACGAAGAGATCGTGGCCACTGCCCCTGCCAAATAGCGGGTCTGCCTCCCCCCTGCCCCTCCACACACTCACACCCACCCGCCCACCCTCCCTTCGCCGTGCCTGGGACCCCCTCCCGGTGTCTGTCGGGCCCCCGCGCCTCACCTGTACGAGCTGGTGCCATCACACAATAGCCTTACCTAACCCTAACCAAAAATAGCTGTCCCCAGGTGGGGTGAGGCAGGGCTGTGGGGGTGGCTGTGCAGCCAGCCAGCCATCTCCTGCCCGTCACTCCCCGCTCACGTAAGTGCTGTAGCAGCCAGAGCCGAGCAGCAGCTTGTTCCTGGCTCAACACAGGGGTCTCCTCATGGTGCATTCGATCTCCTCACTTCCCCCTCGAGCAGACATAACATTTCCCATGATCAGAACAGCCTCGCTGCCTCCCTGGGCTGCTGCTCAGCCTCACCCCATGTCCCCACTGCCCTGTTCTGATCGGGAGCTGGGCATGCAGGATGGGTGTGGCAAACTTCTGTCCATCCCCACAGGTGGTGCCCACGCTCTGTGTTTGGGGAGATGGTTCTTTCCCCCGTGTGGATTTGTTGCCAAGTGGGAGTGGGGAGCCCGGTCCATACTCTGGTGCCTGTAGCAATATTTGCTGTCTGGAGATCAGGGAGGAGCAGTAAGGAAGGTGCTCTCCTAGGTCCCTTTGGAAAGGGGGAAAGGCTCATGGTGGTCTTGTACCTGAGGTAAGTGGCTTTGGAGCAGCAGAGTCTTTTCCTGATGCTCTCTGCTTTCCCCCTGTGGGGTGCTGGGCAGCTGGAGGTCTGGCTGTGGCAGAGCTGGCCAAGAGGGTCATCCCTGATCCCAAGCCAATCATGGTCCCGTGGCTTTAAGTGGTGAAGATGCTCCTCTCTCCTGGAGCGTGGCCTGCCTGGTGTCTGCCCCAGAGGTGGGATTGTGGCACAGGGAGCCTGTGGACAGGCCAAACCTCCCCTCTCCCTACTCCAAACCACTCTGCCCTGCCTGACCCCTCTCCTTGGGGTTCTTTCTCCTCCAGATCAGGTAAAGGGGAACATGAGGCCCCAGTCTCCTGGCTCCTCTGGTGGGCAGAGTGCTCAGTGGCCAGGGCTGTGGATGGGGGGGCTTGCTGACAGGAGTGGCAGCCACAGGACCATGCCTCAACCTGGCCATGCCAGTTGGGAGCAGGGCCAAGCCCTGCCTGGGTGATGGTGGAGCCAGGGCAAGGCAGAGCCGGGTGCTTTGCTGTGGGACCAGAGTATCCCTTTTTCCTGGGCCTTTGGGGTCTAAACAACGGGGCTGCCCTTTCCCAGTCACGTCTGATGGATTAAAATAGAGGTTGTGCTCACCAACCCCCCAGAAACTCCCAGCACTGCCACCACTCGGTGTTCACCCCAGCACCAGTGTCTCCACCAGCACCAAAAGGCTATTGTCCATCCATAGGTGGCCTGCATCCTGCTCGGTCCCAGCGATGCTCTCACAGCAGGTGCCCTCAGCCCAGCGTGGCTTTCCAGGAGCAAGACATGCTGGCACCTTGTCTGTCCCCTCCCCAACCTTAGCAAATCGAGGTTATGGGGAGACCAGAGCCTGGAAAAGACCGGAGGGAGACGGCAGGGTGCTCTGCATCCTCTGTCTTTGATGCTCAGTCATTATCCCTGCAGTTTGTACTCTGTAAAACTTGGTATATATACCTGGTATATTTCTGTGCAAAAAAAAAAAAAAAAAGGTATTTATTAAAAAACCCTCACTGTCTTAACGGCACAGGGTGGCTTTTTCCCACAGAGGGTGTCGTGGTTTAAACCCAACTGTCAACTCAGCCCCACACATCCACACAGTCCCCTTCGGTGGGATGGGGGAGAGAATCAGAACAGTAAAAGTGAGAAAACTCGTGGGTTGGGATAAAGGCAGTTTCATGAGTAAAGCTCTGCGTGCAAGGAAGGCAGAAGAAGGAATCCATTCACCACTTCCCGTGGGCAGGCGGGTACTCGGCCATTCCCAGGACATCAGGGCTCCATCACACCTAACGGAGACTTGGGAAGGCAAATGCCATCACTCCAAACATCCCCCCTTCCTTCTCCCCCAGCACAGGGGAAATGTCTCACTGGGCACAGCTGGATTTCCATCTCGGGGCGTGCTGGGGCTCAGCTGTGGGACAATGACACCAGTACCCTCCACTGCGGCACAGGACAGTCCCCAGGGAGGATGGGAGGGTCTCTGGAGAAGGAATGTGTGCTGCTGTGGGGCTGGGAATGAATCCCACACATCCAGCCAGAGCCCTGGACTTCCCTGGGCATGTGTGCACCTCTGAGGGAGAGCTGGAGGGTGTCCCATGAGCTCCGACCAGCGGGCCGGTGAGGTGCAGGGGGTTTTCCTAAGGTCTTTGAGGGGGACTGAGGTGCACAGGTTGTCCTGCTGTTCCTCCGTGTGCTCCTAAACCCCTTAGATAATCCCCTTTAAATAGCAAGACCAGGGCAGCGGGGGATTTATTTTAAGTCCTTTCAAACCCAGATTTTACGGTCAGGTCTTGGACCCTGTCCCCATTCAGAAGTGTTTAAAACTGCCTTTAATCCCAAACGGATCATTTTATCTCCGCGGAGAGGCAGAGATTAGCTCCGGCACAGCTCGGCACAGCCCGGGCTCCGGGCTGGGGGCTGCGGGGGCTGCGGGCTGGGCAGGGGGCGGGGGGGTTGCCCGCAAACATCGCGGGGGTCTCGTGTGAGCGAGGACGGGGACGTGGTGAAGGTGCTGGGTTTGCTTCTGCCCCCGGCAAGAGCGATGTCACCGCTCCAGCGCACGGCTGAGCTGTGCTGTGCTGTGCTGGGGACAGCGGGGCACACGGAGGGTGCGGGGAGGGGACTCGCTGCCCGCGGGGGAGGCGACACCGAGACGAGCCGCAACTCGTTAATTATCGGCTGCGGCTTTAAACGCGGAGGGGCGGGTTCAACCCTGGAGGGTTGGTCTGGTTACCCGGGGGGGGCCGGGCTGTCCCGGCTGGCACCGCCCCGTCCCGGCCGCGGGCGCGGCTGTTTACAGGTCCGACAAGTTGCGTTGGTCTGCGAAAAAAAGTAAGTTCCCTCCACCCCCCTCCGCACCGCACCGCACCGCCTCCCTTGTCCCCCCGCAAAGCCGGTGGGTGCCCCGGGCAGAGGGAACCGCTGGAGCGTCCACCGGGGCCGGGGTGTCCCCCCCGAGGAGGACGTGGGATTTCCCCCCCCCCCCGTGCCTGCCGCGGCCAGGACCCCTCCCGCGTGTCCCGTGTCCCCTCCCGCGTGTCCCCAGCCCCTCGCCCCGCGTGGGGGTCAGAGCCCGCGGTGCGTGGAGCCCATCCCGGGGGGCAGCAGCGGGCTCACCCCGAGCCGAGGGACGAAGCCCTTCCCGTCCCGGTGAGCCCCTCTCTGCCGGGACAAGGCGCATCCCCGAGCCGGAGGGCAGGGCTGAGAGCGACCCCACCGCTCCCTCCAGCGCCCCATCCCGAGAGGTGGAGGGGGGCCCTGGACCACGCTGGTAAACCCGCCTGCCTTGTTTGGGGTGTCCTGGGCTGGAGAGGGGCAGAGAGAGGGAGGTTGTAGAGTTTCCTTCCCCGAGGCAGGTTTTCCTGGCTTTCAGGACTTAAACCTACTCAGGCTTAGTGAGCCGGAAATCCCTGTCACTGCAAATCCAAGGAGAAGTGCCAGAGCAGAGGCTGAGCCTATGCCGGTGAGCAGGGGCTGTGCTTGGCAAGAGCTAGAAAAAAGCCCTGAAGAAAGTTAAAGGAGGAAATCCAGCCACTTAAGCATTTTGTTCTTATGGGTTTTGACAGCTTTTTTTTTTTTTTCCTTTTCTTAATAGCTTAGCCTCTCAGAGCCTGCTTCTCACCCCTTCCCATCCCTCTGCTCCTTGGGAGCTGCAGTGGTTTCACAGGTGATTAGAAAATGAACCCATCTGCCCTATCCAGATTTACTGTTATTAATATATGCTGGTTTCCCAGAGAGCAGGCCGAGAGAGCAACACGGGGTGTTCACCAAAAACGTGAAGGAGAAGCCCACAGAAGGTGTGGACCATGGGCTGGGTGTCTGATGCAGGTTTCCCTTATGGGACTGACACCCCTTTGGGACCAGCCCAGGAACTGCTGTCCTGTTCTCAGGTGGGGGTGGGGGGGGGGTTCCTGCAAAAATCCACTTAATCTTTAAGGTTTTGGGGAGAAGCAGGGAGGGTGTGTGTGTCACCCATGGCAGTGTTGGTCTGGGGAAGGTGTGGGGCAGTCAGGGGCTGCTGGGCCCCCCCACGCCATGTCTCCAGCAGTGCCTCTGGAGCAGCCCCCATGCAGGGACAGGGATGGTGTGCCAGCATGGCTGGAAGCAGGACATCATCGCTGCTGACGCTGGGCAAATGTGTCTGTAATTAAAAGAAGGAGAGAGCAGCACAAGGCAGGTGATCACTGGAAGTGCTGGTTATTGCAGGCGTGGAGCTGGTTCTGCCACGCTCCTGTACCTCGCTCTCATCCAGCTGCACCCTGTTTGGCTTTGGAGAGGGAAACCTCTCCTTCCTCCAGCTATTTGGGCTGTGTTGGAGCAGGCACAGGATGGAGATTTTGACCTAGAAGCAAAGTGGGGGAATGGGGTGTGGCCCTGGGGATGCCTCAGTGAAAGTGTGTGCAGAGAGTTTAGTGCTCAGTTTTTCCTGTGGTGACCTGGAAGCTCATCCCCAAAACGCGTGTTTTGCTTTTTAGAAAACCTCATTTTCCCTCAAAGGTATGTGAAACATGAAAATGTGATCCCAGCCCTCCAAAAGTCTTTACTTCTGGATGGAACATATTTTTTTCACTGTTTTTTGGGGTGTACTGAGCTGCTTTGCTCGCACACACGTGCTGAGCACTCTGCTTGCTGTCATTTGAGAGCAGTTAAGTGCTAAGTTCATAGTTGGCTCCCAGGACACCTGCAGTGGCCCTGCAGCCTTGTCCCCACCAGCTGGGCTTCTTGGGACACCCCATTCTCCCAGACAGCTCCTACGGTGCCTTTCTTCTGGGTTGTTTCTGCCTGTATTTTTGCTGTCTTATAGCACACGTGTTGTCCCTGGGCAGGTGCCAGTTTGGAAGAGCTGCCACTGTTGCCACTTCTGCTCAGCTTGCTTTCCCTCCGTGTGAAACCCCAGGGTGCTGGAGGCGTCAGAGGAGATCAGCAAAGATGTGGCCACAGTGGGGACTGGACCTGAACCGAGTCCGCTGTGACCTGCACTTCACAGAAGCCATCAACCAAAGGATGCAGGTCCCCAACAGGCTGAAGGTGGCAGAGAGCTGCAGCTCTGTGGAAAAGGAGCGAGTGAGAGAGGATGTCCCTCCTTCCTTTCGGATGCACATCCCTGATAGGATTTCTCTTGCGGGTAAAGTCCTGGGCTGTTTGTTTTTGGGGTGGCTGAAGGTTGGTGGGGCACTCCAACATCCTAGGGGGTAAGATCCCTTTATAAAGACCCCAGTCATTTGCTTTGCAAGGGGAGAGGACAGGGGCACAGAATGCAGTCAGCTTTCTTCTGGAAGGCAGGACAGGATGGTGGAGAGGTGCGTGGGAAAAGGTGGACAGAGATGACCAACAGAAGGCAGGAGGGGTCTTAGTTCCAAAAGGTGAGGAGCAAAATGTGGAGGCATCTCCCTCCACGTTCCCTCTTGGCCTCTGGTGGGCTCCCTGCTTTGGGATGCAGGACATTTGACCCTGTCTTTGAAAACCAGCACAGAGCCCTTGCTGTCCTGAAGCAGTGGGTGTGCCTGCCGGGGCTGTGCTGCTGCTCACAGCTGCAGGACGAGGTTTTTCTGTGCCTGATACTCGACACAGGCTTGTCTCTCCTGCATGGGTGCATCTCTCTTCTCTCCTCTCCTGGGGCCATTCAGGTTGGCTTAATTCTTCTCTCTCTCTCCTCTCCGTAGAAATATCAGATGCCATTTTGAGGCCAGACCCGCTGAGCCAGCCAAGGAAGGTCCCCTCTGTTGTGGTGCACGTGTCCCCGGACCCCTCAGCGCCGCCCACCCCCCTGGGGGAGCTCCCCTTCCTGCACACCCCCAGCAGGTCGAGCGCCCAGAGACGCAAACGAGCGGTACTGTACTGGCAGGGCCCGGGGCTGCCTCTGCTGGGGAACGGGGGCAATCCCAGCTCTGGGTTTTTCCAGAGCTCTGTTGTCACCCCAAGCCAGAATTCGTCTTCCAGAGCGCTGCCTCCTCCCAGGAGCGAGGGTGTAGGGATGGTGGGATCCCTCTCTGTCCCATAACCGGTACGCACCCGTGTGCTGGGATGTTGGTTCAGCCAGATCTCCTGCTGCATTTTGTGGGCAGGAGGTAGGCTGAGATAGGTGCAGTTCCCCCACAGCCTTCTTCTGCTGCTCTTGAAGTCCCTTTTCAACCTCTTTTTCTCCTCAGTGAAGTACAAGGCAGAGCTGGTTTATCACTGCAATATGAAGGGTTCTGGGGTCAGAGCTGAAAGCAGATTTTACCCTTGGGGGAAACTAATTCAGAGAGAGGTCCCTGGCAGGGGCAGGCAAAAGCTTGGTTTTGCTTCTGGAGCTGTTGCTCTCCCTTCTCAAGGGCCTTCACCTCCCTGAAATTTGGGAGCTGTTCCTGGATGTGTTGTGTGCAGGACTTTTGATCTGGCTGGAGTCCAGATCAGCAGGCTCCTCGCTGGTGAGCCTCCCTCTGCTCCCAGCATGTCTGCTCACCTGCACCAGCACCACTTCACTGGGCTGGGGCTCGTGTGGTGCTGGGGACCCCCCTGGGCAGGTCTCTGTGCTGATGTGGTTGTGTTTGATTCCAACAGGGCCACCACAGCAGCAGGTCCCGGCGGGACAGGATCCCAGGTGACTGTGCCCAGCTGGCCTTGCACAGCCCGGGACAGCAGCATGAGGGGTGAGTGTGAGACCAGGGCCATCCAGGGTGGGTGGGGATCGTCATCTCCTGCCACTTGTGCTGCTTTGGAGCTCTCTGGTGTCGGTGTCCTGAGGGGATTGGGAGGATCCGGATCAGAGCAAGGCAAATCCTACTCTTGCATGAGGAGAACATGGCCCCTGGTGTCAGAGAGGTTTGTGCCAGGCACTGTTGGTCCCCAGGGTGATGAGCTCTCTGCTGAGATGCACATGGGGCAGCATACCTCTCTCACAGCAGGCTGACAGTGCTGTTTGTCCTGACCATGGGGCCAAGAGGACCTTTCTGTCTACTCTGCCTTGTCCTGGTCCCTCTGGCTCTGCCCATCTTCCTCTGGGTGCCTTGCAGTGTGCTCCAGCACCAGCATGGCAGAGTGCTGGGGGCAGGAGACCACTGGAAATGGGGCACCAGGGCTTAATCCTGTTTCTGAAGGGGTTGATGAAACTTGCAGTGCCCTGCAGACAGGGTGGGCCAGGAGCAAACTTGCTTGTGGGTAGTAGCATAGTGATAGTGATCCTCTCTTATGGCCTTGGGCTCTGGAGTCTCTCCAGTGGAGAAATTGTCTTTAAGCTAATCCCAGAGCAGAACCACCTTTCCCCCTAGAAGCCCAGGGTTGCCCTGGGTGGCATGAGAGCTGCTTTCTGCAACCCCTGTGAGAACAGCATGGCCCACAGCCATGTCTGGCTTTGGAGGAATCAGGTGGCTGCCTCTGAGTCTGGGGGCTGCAGGAGAGGGTTCTCCCACCTGGTGACATCGGGGTCTGGGTGCTGATGGCATTTGTCCTTTTTCCATGGTTCTGGAGCTGCTGAAGGGATGAAGGGCAGTGCCTAATTCCAGGCTGTGCCCTGCCAGGGAGTAACAGGAGTGGTTCTGTGTGCACCCCAGGCTGGACTCGGGCCCCCTGCCCGCTCGCAGTGCCCCTCTCCCCATCCCGGCGGGGGCAGGCAGGATCTACTCCCTGCAGAACATCGTCCACACCATGTACCTCCTGGGCCAGGTGCTCTTCCACCGTGTCCAGGACTCTCTGCAAGGCCCATCCAGGTGACTTTGGCATGTCCTGAGGCAGCTCCCCTATCCTTCTGCCAGGCCTGGCCTTTGCCCGTGCTGAGATGTGTGAGGGGCACGATGGTCCTGCATGTCTGCCTTGGGCTCTGCTTCTTGCCTGCCCTGTCTGCCAGCTCTGGGGGGCACCCCACTTAACCCAGCCAGGCTCGTGTCTCCTGCTGAGCTTAACACCAGTGCCCCTGGGCCCCCCCTGAGGTGATCTTGAACCCCACCTGTGACGTTGCTGGGAATTTCTCTTCGCTGCTAAGCAAGTTCTAATTTTTGGGTGTGCCTTGATAGCTTTGATGGAGAGAAATGTGTTGAAGGGGATCCAAATCTAGACCAGCCTGAACCAGGCCCTGTCCCTGAGAGATCCTCTCCTGCAGGGTCCCCAGCACCCTTGGCTGTATCTTGGTCACTCTTAATTAGGTTTTCCACGAACTCATCCCACAGCCAGTGCCCCTGGCCAGGGGCACTGGCTGTGGGATGAGTTCGTGGAAAACCTAATTAAGGTTTGTGTGCCTTTGTGCTCCCTGGAGCAGGTGTGCAATGACCTCAGTCCCTCCAGATGTGCTGGAGCAGCGATCTCCACCACTCTTATCCGTGCCAGTGCGGTAAATTTAACATGTCTGAAGACATCCTTGCAGCCTTAAGGTGTCCCCACTGCTCTGAGACTGCTGAGCACCTTGGGGGAACATCTAAGTACTTCTAATTCTCCTTGAGTAAAGCCTCCAGGCAGAAAGGGAGGAGAGGGAGCATCCATCATTGCATCCATCATCAGTGGCACATCCTGCCTTGCCTCCCCAGCTGGCCTCTGCTTGCCAGCGATACAGAGTGATGTTTTTAACTGCTTTTAAGCACCCTAGGCTGAGGCTGTCTCCAAACTCTCTTTAATTTCTTAATGAAGCCTGGGCACGCCAACAGGTCTGGTTAGTGACTGCATTAAACCTCCCTCCTCCTCCCATCAGCAGGGGAGGACATTTAGGCTGTGGTAGCCTGAGAACTGCTGAAGTGCAGTGGGGTGACTCCCAGGTCCCTGTCTTCCTTTGAAACCAACCACCTTCCAACACCTCTTCTTGGGTTCTTTGCATCCCTTCAGATGCAGTGCAGGCGATATCTCTCCCATATGTCAACTTTGTGCCTCTGTGCAGCAATAAAAATAAATAAAAAAAAAGGCTGTGCTGACTTATTTGTCCTCAAATTTTAGTAAAGGAAAGTCTGGTCTCAAACAGAGACTGGAATATTTGCCTGCCAGTGACCTCTTGAAGGGTATGAGTCATCAGAAGGTAATTTCTAGTTTCTATTCTAAAGGTTGTTCACCTGTATCAAGTGGGATTTTGAGTCAAAAGCTGCAGGACGTGTCCTTTTTCCATGGTTCTCTGCTGGGGGAAATTGTATTTGCTCTCTGTTGTGACTGGCATTTTACACTGCAGCTGCATTATATGGAGGTATTATCTCACAAATGTATTTTCAGTCAGAGATTCACTGAATCTCCACGTTCTCTTCTGCCTTGTCTTCAGTGAGATCAACATGTTTCAGATGGGAATAAACACCCTCTCCTCCCCAGGGCCTCCAAGGAGCAGGGTTAGATGCTTGTTAAGCCCTGTGGGATCTGTGAGTGCCTGTGTGTTGCTGGTTCACAGGGGAGTTTTGGTTATAGAACAGCTGATTTTGGGCTAGCCTGTGGTGACGGGGACAACAGACCTAACATGTGGCAATTCTGATTTTTCTCACCGTTGGATCTACTTTAGTTTGTGGCTCGGTGCTGTAGACCCTACAGGGAGGCTGTGTCCCCAGGGAATCCCAGCACAGCAGCTCATCCCAGAGGCAGCCCCTGTGTTTCCAGGGGTGGAAGAAAGTGGTGAATGTTTGGGTTGCTTGTTTATGTTTCAAGTTGCAGGTGACGTTTGCTCTAAGGGCAAGAAGTGATAGTTCCCTCCACCCGTGGGATCCTCCCCTGCTGCTGTAAATGAGATCATCCCTCCATCTTGGCCCTGTCATGCGTATTTACCTGTCTGGCTCTAAAGATGGCTCTGAGATCCAGCCCTCAGTGAATTCCTGGGACAGTAGAGAATGGATGCTTGGTAGATAAGTTTTCTCTCCGTTGGACTTGTAAAGCAATACAAGCATGTGCTTTCCCCGTTCCCTGTCACGGCATGTACCGCGTGTTTTGGTGTGATCCCTTTGGGTGCGTGGTGGAGGGGTCTGAACATGCATGGTTGGGGTTAAGGAGAGCTGAGCAGATGCTGTGCAGGTGCTGTTTGGTTTCTCCTGGTGCTATGACGGCACAGCCTGGGCGCACACCCGCTCTGCCTGCACGGCTGGCAGTGCCTGTGGCGGGGGACAGCTGCACCCCTCGAGCAGTGCTTACCCACCTGCATCTCCTTTTCCCTTTCCCAGCTCCCAAGAGGCTGGCTCAGCCACGGAGAGCACGTTGGAAGAGGTCGGGGTGACTGAGGTGGCAGCCATGAGAAAGCAGGTGAGACTGGAGGGGGAAGGGCTGCAGATGTTTCCTGGGAAAGCCATGGGAGGGAGGGTGGGTGAGGAGGCTCCAGGGGTCTGTTGCTCAGGGGACTGGTGCTGTCATGCTGGTCCTACCTAATGGAGAAGCAGGAGAGGACTTATACATGTGTGTTGACCCATTGATCTCCTTCCCCCAGGGGCTGTAGGGCTGCAGGAGACAGACAGACCCCTCTGTCTGTGGGCAGGGAGAGGGGCTCAGATACTCCTCTGATGGGGAGGACCTTCTCCTGAAGCATCTGCTGCAGTCCTGAGGCACTGCTGCCCATTCTCCCCCACAAAGATAGCGCTCTCTTTAGCAAAGGAGGGCCTGAAGAAGCCAGCAGCTCCCATCCCTCCATCCTGTGCTGTCCTGTGCCTCTGGGACAACCCTGCTTTGCTGCAGGGCTGACCCTGGCCCCACTGCTTCCCTTGCAGCTGGCCAGGATCTCAGGGAGGCTCCGTGTGCTGGAGGAGCAGTGCCACGCCTGGCAGCAGAAGGAGGCCCTGGTCTACTCTGTGATGATCTCTGCCTGCCTCATCAACACGTGGCTCTGGCTGAGAAGATGACTGCCCGTGCCTGAGCTCCCTGCTCGCCCCGGCAGGGTGGGTGAGGGCAGGGAGAGGATCCTTTCTTGTGTACTTGCCAGCAGTAAAGCTACATGTTTGTTCTTAACCTGACCTGCTTTTTGCACTGTGGGCCCTTGAGGATCCGTGTCCTTCAGGCCCCGATGACAATGAAGGTGCCATCCCTCTGTAGCACCAGAGGTGGGTGAGGGAGATGTAGCTGGAGGAGCCAGGAGCTCCCATCCCTGCAGCTGCTGCTGTGCCCCCACCCCTGCCAGCTCCCATCTTGCTGGAGGCAGCTCAGCAGTGGGTCTGCAGATGCTCAGATCCAGGGTGTGGATCTGTGAGAGTGTTGCTGACATCTGGGCTCATCCAGGAGCTTGGCTCTTTCCCAAAGAGATTTACGTGGGAAAATCCCCATGGTGACCCTGTGGATTATAAGACCTCGTACCAAACAGTGACAGCACCAGACAGGTCATGGAAAATCACCCATGAGCAGCAGTAGGTATTTTTTGGGTTTCCAGTGCTGGGTTTCCTCTCCTGGGTCTGCTGCCAAGCTGTAACTTCAGCAGTGTTACAAGAACATAGGTGAAGGAAATTCCTGACCCGCATGCTCCTTAGCTATAAACAAGCCCAGTTCAGCAGCTTTGCTGTTTCTTTCCTTCTGTGGAGTTCGGTAACACTTGGATCTGAGGTGACTTTGAGACGCTTCTGGTCGCTCACTCATCCAGCACATCTGCTGGAGTTGTGCCTGCAGGCTCTGGGGACAGGTTTTAGCAAGGCTTAACAGGACCTGTCTGTGCCACCTATAAGTAATTATAGCTGGATCTACAGGCCATCCAGATGTCCCCATAGCTTATTTACTGACATGGATGCTTGGCTGTTTTCTGCTTGAAACTGCATCAGGCATCTGTGACTGTAAATCTGGCAGCTGGACACTGACTAATAAATAACTGTCCCCCAGGTAATTGCAGGTCTGAACCTGTGGCTGATTGCTGAGCTGAGGGGAGTGCTGGGATTGATTGCAGAGGAGAGCCAGGATGGTGTGGTGGGCCTGGCATGTGCCGTGCTGTGGCAGGGGGTGGGGAAGGGACAGGAGCACTGGTGGCTCAGGGATGTGGTCAGGGTCACCACAGGACCTTACACAACAGGTGTATTATATAAGGGGGCTACTTCTGTGCGAATCATGCCAGGAAATAAGGTAACTTTTTGGTCTGGTTTCTCCTCTTTTAGAGGTGCAAACGTGTTTTGGAGGAAGCTTGAGTTTTTGGGGTTTTTTTTAAACTGTATTTTAGGGTGAGAAGGACTGACCCTTTGTGAAGGCTCACCTTCAAAGTGTGGCTTGAAGATGTTTGGAGGACAGGTGGTCAAACTATATGTGTTCTCACAGGTTATTTATTGTAAGGTTGTGGAGAGATACGATATGACTTTTATGTAAGGCATAAATTCTGCTGTAAATCTGGAAACACTGACCACAAAATGTGTGTTTTAATAAACCCTGTGTGTTCTGGATGTGTTTTTTTTTTTACCAGCCATGGAGTCTGATTCTGCTGTTCCAGTGGACAGGTAAGGTTTATTCCCTTGGCAGCAGGACTGTGAGCTGGTGGTCTGGAGCTGGATGTCTCAGCCCCAGCTGCCCTGGCTAGGGGAGGGATCTGGAGAAGAGCTGTCTCTGGTGGGATGTGATGCTTTTTTTTTTTCTCCTCTTTCTTTCCTCCCTGCCTTCTCCCCCTGGCTGTGTCCCAGGGCAGCCCACGTGGCAGGGCTGGGTGTCTCCAGGGGTCAGAGCCACAGCAAATAAAGCGTCTTGTGCGAGGCGGTGCTCGAGGGAGCTGTGAGGGAGCAGCTCCTGGAGTTCCCTCGTTCCTTCTGAAGGCAGCTGCAGGCAGGGAGCAAAAGCAGAGCTGGAAGGTGGGCACGTGTCGCTGCCAGTGCTCCTGGTGAGCTGTGTCCAGTGCTGGGGTCTGGGGTGTGGGGCAGAGCAGGGGGACAAGAGCAGGGGGATGTGGCCCTTGCTGCTCACCCAGGAACCTCCCAGCACTGCCAGCAGCCCTGGCCAAGGCTGAGAAGTTGTTTCTGCCTTTGGACTCCCTACTGTCTGGGTGCTCAGCGAGATCAGAACCAGTGGAATTTAAGGCTTTGAAGGGAAAAGGAAAGGTAAAGCTTTGATAACAAAGGTAAAAGTGACTCCCAGTGCTGGTGCTTTCAGATCAGCCCTGCAGAAGGTGCAGGACCCCGTGTGCATGTCAGGGATGGATCCAGCCTTGGCCACTGCAAGGGGGTTAGATCCTGGAGGAAGGGGGTAAAAATAAACCCCTTCCTTATTGCCTTGAGGGTGCGAAGTTTTTGCTAACCGGTTATTAGAGTGGCTTTTTGAGTAAAATAAGAGGGCAGAAATTGGTGAAAGATGAGTTTCATGATCACCTTCAAAGTCTGCAACTCCCTTTGATGGGACTCCAGAGCAGCACTTTTGATCTCCTACTTCCTGAGCATGAGAAGAGGCAAGTGGATGTGAGGGTGTTAAAATGTGGCTACTTCTGCCCATTTTCCATCAAAGCAGGAGTTGTGGCACAGTCTCTGTTTTTCCCTGGGGCAGAGGGCTGGGAGGGGAGCAGGAGCAGACAGGGCTGCCTGGGAAGCACTCCAGGTGCCATCCCCTCGCGTGGCAGGACCTGAACCCACCTGGGGTCGGGGCTGTACCTGTCCCGGGGTGGGCAGTGACCCTTCACCGAGGTTTGCTGGGGACTCAGGAGTCACTGGGCTGCTCAGGGTGGCTGCGACCTCCAGCCGGGCTCTGCCCTGGGGGCTGTCTGGGGTCCCTCCGGTGACGGGTGCGGGGAAAGGGGAACGCGTGGGTAGGGGAACGGAGCATCTCCGAGCAGCGCATTCCCCTCCTCCCCTTTGGTCCCCTGACACAGAGCTGCTGTTAACTCCCCTGCAGTGCTCGGGGCGCCCAGGATGCTCAGGGGACGGGTGTGCTGGGGCCGTGGGAGCCACGTGCGCCTTCCCCGAGCACAGCCGGGGCCGCGCTGCCACCGCCGGGTGCTGCCCAGCCACCTCTCCTGCCTGCCTGCCCGGGCAGGAGTGCAGGCAGCTCCTCCTGCCCTGGTTCGGCTTTGCAGCCCAACTCGTGTGTGAAAAGCCTCCGGATGCTCCCCTGCCAGCCCCGCTAGCCCGGCCGAGGCAGCAGTAAGGTGTGGAAGCCTTCGGGGGACCCCAGGACAGCGAGTGGGTAGCGGTGACCTCGGGGCTGTGGCACTGCTGCCCCTGGGAGGTGAGGAAAGGGAGGGGTGGGGAAGGAGAGACGAAGAAAGGGAGGGGGAGTCAGGGAAGGGAAGGCAAGGGAGGGGTGGGAAAGGCAAGGAAAAGGAAGGGAGGAACAGGCAGGGGAAACAAGATGAAAAAAAGAAAGGGATGGTTAGGCAAGGCAAGGGATAACAAAGGCAAGGCAAGGAAGGGGCAGGCAGGACCAGGCAAGTAAAGGAAAGGCATGGGGAGGGGTAGGCAAGGAAAGGAATGGTAAAGAAAACAAGGCAAGGGAGGAATAGGCAGGTCAAGGGAAGGAAAAAGGGACACGCGGCTGGCAAGGCAAGGAATGGGAAGGGGAGGGATTTCCCCCTGGAATCTCAGGGGTAGGCAAGGAAAGGGAGGGGAGAGAATGCAAGGCAAGGGCAGACTAGGACATGCAAGGGACTGGAGGGGTAGGAAAAGCAAGGCAATGAAAGGGGAGGCAAGTCACAGCAAGGCAAGAGTGGAATGAAAGGGATGGCAAAGCAAAGGACAAGATGTTTCTCTGGTAATGGATGAGGAGCCTGAATGATGAGGAGAGGGTCTTTCATGGGCCACAGGCAGATGTGGAATCGCAGGGGGAGCAAAATGCCCCGCAGGACTCTCACTGCAGCATCAGCCATGGCTGGTGGGAGGAAACATGGAGTGGACACATTCCGTGGCATTTGACCCTCTCTTCCCCTGCCATGCTGCATCTCTGTGCTCAAACCATGTGATGTGTCCCGCATGTCTTGTGCCTGTTTTCTGCTCTTGCAGGTCCCTGGGGTACCCTCACAGTGATGATGACAGCGAAGAGTAATGGCCTGCAGAGCTCACCAGCCAACCACCCCCCCGGCCCAGCACGGGGGGACATGGAGGGGACAGGGCTCAGCACCAGGAGGTCAGGCTGGTCCCTGCTGGGGTTGAGGGAGGCAGTGGTGGGACAAGGGAGGGGAAGGCCAGCTTGGTGTGTCTGCTGAGACCTGGCACGGGCAGGGCTGTGACGCCCAACCCCTGCTGCCAGCTCCCTCCAGGTCACCTGGCTGTGGCAGGTGATGGCACAGTGTGGATGTGGATGTGACCCCTCTCTTTTCCCCACTGCAGGACCTGCTCAACCCAGGGTGACACCTCAGAGGTGTGGAAAGGAGCTCTCCTGGATGGGGAGGAGCAGGCAGCTGCCTCTGCTTTCCGAGGCCGGGGAGCCTTGGCCAGGTACCCGTGTGTGCCACTGGCCCAGGGTGAGCCTGAGCTTTTTGTGAGCCTGGCTTTCACACTGGGGCCTTGCAGGGGATGGGGATCCCCTCCTGCTGTCTGGCATTCAAGGATGCAGGGACCAACACTGGCCATGGAGGGGGTTGTGGTACGGGACAGCTTCACCCCCACTGGGGCCCCAGGAGGGTTCAGGGGCTCCTTTCCCTTGCAGGCAGCCTCTCTCTGCCCCAGTCACCCTCAGATTCCTCATGTTCATGTGGGATGGCATCAGGATTGGGGGAGAAGCTGTGGAACTCTACCAGGGTGGTCCCTCTTGCTCATGTACTTTTGGTCTCATGTCATCATTACAAGGGGGAAAAAGAAATTTTTGGGCTTGAGAGGGAGCTGTGAGAGTTTTCTTCTCAGCTGTAGCCTCCCTGATGGCTCTCAAGCTTTTGCTTTCTCCTTTCTCCACGGGCAACTCCTGACTGTGCCTCTCTCCCCTGCCCAGGATAGTCCGGCTGGTGCTGGTGCTGAGGGACTGGGCCAACAAGAGCCTGCACGAGGAGCGGCAGAGGCCAGACCCCTTCCTGGAGCGATTCCAAGGCCCTGAGCTCCTGACAGTGGCTGCAGGAGCTGGAGATGAGCCAGAGGACGGGGAGACTGAGAAGCTCAACAAGAGGTAGGGTCCCTTTCCTGTGTCCACAGCCCTCCTTGGCTGGAGCAGCTGTCCATGGTGCTCAGGGGCTCCCAGTGCTGGTGGCTGATGGAGGGGGATGGGGATGGGAAAGGGGGAGGTGGGAGGCAGGGGTGGGGAGGGTCCTTCCTGCCCTTTCCAGCCCCTGTCTTGGCAGCCAGCCTGGCTTTGCTGGGCTGTTTTTTGCTGGCACACAGGACCTGGTGGTCTGTCCCCGTGGGCAAGACCTGCTGTGTGCGGTCTTCTGTCCACTGGTCCATGGCCTGGCAGGAAACACACCTGGCGTGGCTTGTGACAGGTAGGAGACCTCCCCAGCTCCAGAGCAGTTCCACACTAGGCTTGTGTTTGGACAGTCGTGCCTGTGGGGAGCTGGACACCAGCCCAGGGATGTGGGGTCTCCCCCCTGCAGCCACAGCAATCCCACCCAGGAGCCACAACAAACACGTGGGATTTGCCAGTCTCGTTCATCATCTGCAGGATGAAAGGAGATGGAGGGAATGTGTTTGCTGCCTGTGCCCCTTTCCCTGCTTCCCCCTTCCCCCTCCAAGAACAGCTTTGTGAAAAGGCTCTTTCAAATCCAGCCTTTTCATCTCCTCAGCTCACACTGCTGGTGAAAAGCAATAACCTGGCTTTTCTTCTGCTGACTAATTAGAGGGCAAAGCTCACGGACTGCTCTGGACCCTACCATTATACATGGTAATTACAACACCAAGAAATAATTGTTTTCTGCAGGAGAAAAATATCTGAGCCTTGTATCTGGGTCTTTACTAGTGATGGCAGAAAAAAGAACATTCTGCCCTGTGAGGTTAAGGGGAGTTTGTTAATAACCAGGAGGAGCTGAAGTGTGAAAGGGCTGCTCAGTGCCAGTTTGAGTCCTGGGGATGAGGTGGGAACTTCTGCAGTTGTCTAGGTCTTCAGCTCCAGAAGTAAGAAAAGCCTCAGATCTGGTGGCCCCAAATGTGAGCTGCTGTTCATGGCTGTAGCAAGCTCCAGGCCTTGAGTGCAAAGCCTTTGGGAAGAGGCAGATGATTATTCCCTCTTCCTGGGTCAACCCTGAGCCCTGTTTTTCCAGCCCTGGCTCTGCTGTCAGCATAATGTCAGTGACTCTGGCCGCTTGTCATGGGTGATTTAAAGCTGAGATTACATCAGCACTGTTATTGAGGTTATTAGTGCTCGTGAGTGCTGCAGCTGTCTGTGCTGGCTGCAGGTGAGTCTGTGCTTCCCCTGTGGCAGTGCTGCATGTCCTAGGGAGCAGAGTCCCTTTCTCAAAACCCCAAATATTTCAGTCACGCTTTCTTGGCAAAAAAATAAGCACTTTTAACAGGCAGGCTGGACCCCCTGCCTGTCTGTGGCTGGTTGTGAAGGACCACTGCTGGTCCCCGTGCTCCAGGCACCGTGGGTGCTGCTGCCTGTGCTGTTGAGGAAGGAGACTTCAAGGCAGAGGTTTTGCCTTTGAAGCTGTCAGAAGCCATGGGGTGTGCACAGGGAATCTGTTGGCAAGTGGGCTGGTTTTTTTTTTCCTATCACTGGAGGGAGTTTTGCGTGTTCAGAAGCTGGAAGGGAGGGCAGGAGGGAGGGGGACAGCGAAGCCTATCAGCCCAGCCACAGAGTTTCTCTTCCCCGGCTTCTCCAGTGAGATCTGGCGACTGGAGCACACACATCTTATCTCCAAGCCCCAAGACGAGCAGGATCAAACACTTGGGAGCAGTTCAAAGGCTGGAGCCAGGGCTGTGCAGGCTGCAGGCACGGTGGTGGCAGCCTCACCATGCCAGCTGCCCCCGGGGCTGCTGCTCTGGGCCTTGGGCATCCCCTCCTGGTGCTGCCACTGATCTGCAGCACACTCTCCTTACTGCTCTAATTAATCTTCTTTTAGGATCTGCCTGGCACCAGTCCATGCCTCCTCTGGGAGAGGCAATGTCATGTCACAAGAAGTTTTCTGATCACCCTCTCCCATACATCTGTTGCTGGCTCTGCCACTGGGGTTCTGTGTCATGTAGGATGCCTGCTTTGCCTTACAGTTTCCTCTCCTGGTACATTATTGAGTCCAGATTTAGGGATAAAGGAGCTTAAACAGTGTTGGACATTTTTGTTCAGCACTGCTGGGATTGGTTTTAGCTCATAGACTGGTATTCAAGCTGTAGCAATGTTTGAGCCAGTGTAGTGCAAGGGATGAAGGATGTGGCTCAGATGGTTCCCTCCAACCCTGTTTTCTATGTTTAGCCTTTTATTCATACATTGCCAGCTCTGGCCTCTCTCTGCTTCCAGGAGGAAATGGCATTTCTTTGTGGTGGACCCTGCTGGGGACTGGTATTACCGCTGGCTGGCTGTGATTGCAGTTCCTGTCCTCTACAACTGGTGCTTGCTCGTAGCCAGGTGAGCTGGGGGGTCTCGCTCTTCCTAAGCCTCCTGTTCCACCTGGCTGAAGTGGCTCAGCCAGGATCAGACAACTGACACTGGTGGTGCTGGGGCTGGTGGAAACCAAAGGGAAAGGGACCCTCTGCTATCACTGCGAGTTCTGTGGTGCAAAGTCAGAGCCTCTGTCCTCTGGCCCTGGTTGGAAAGGACCATGATTTCAGGGTAAAGCTACAAGTGGTATTTGGGAGATGGTTTCAAGACGTTTCTGTACCTACATCAAGGGAGGGCAGTATTTTCAGAAGAGGCAGTTTTAATTTCTAGATGAGGGGTGGCCAGTGGCCAAGCTCTGTTGCAGAGTCAGGCTCCTCAGAATCAGCCTGTATTCAGCTGTAATACTTAGAGATAATATGGAGATTTTTTTGGCCTGGCACCCTGTTTTATGACCTTCCTCCAGGGCTTGCTTCACTGACCTGCAAGAGACCTATGTTGTCCTCTGGCTGGTGTTAGATTACATCTCAGATGCTCTCTACGTCGGGGACACCGTGATCCGCCTGCGCACAGGTGAGCACAGGTAACTCACGGCGTCCTGGCTGGTGAGTGCTTTGCTTGAATCCCTTAAAAGTGGAGATGGGCTGCAAGGGAGAGGCCTAATCTGCAGCTCTGTTAGGGAAAGGGTTTTGTCTACCTTGGCACTCACTGGTACGAAGCAGTCTCCAGAGAAAGAATCTAATTAAAAGATCTGAGAAATGGAGTAAGTTTCAGAATGAAAGATTAATCATCCCAGCTTTCAGCTTCACCTTTGAATAATTGCAGAAAATTACCTGCATTACTATTAGTATTCAGGCATAGTTGGAAGGTCTGTGTCTCTGATTTTGCATCAGTTCAGCTAATGAATTATCTACGGGGGAAAAATGGTAGAATTTAATGTTCTCGGAATGCCACTGTTGGCTGTGCATTTTCTGTCGGAACTGCAATAATTCATGATCTGCAGGATGGAAGTCTTTGTGTCCCCGTTTTTTTCATGGCAACAGACTAAATCCCTGAGGGGTATCTTTACGTGGCTTTTGACAGATGAAGGGCTTTGGTGATAACGAAAGCCTGTAAACTGAGCAGAGCAGGTGGAACTGGTAATATTTGGATGACCCTGTGTATTTATGCACACAGGTGCATGATATACCATAAACTGTTGCTCAGGTGCTTACAAAACACACAGAAGAGCCAAACCTAAGCCATGATAATCATATCATTTGCTTCTCTTCAGGGTTTTTGGAACAGGGCCTCCTGGTTAAGGACCTGAAGAAGTTACGGGATAACTACATCCACACCCTCCAGTTCAAGCTGGACATTGTGTCTGTCCTGCCCACAGACCTGGCATACTTTGCAGTGGGATGGCACTGCCCTGAGTTGCGTTTCAACAGGCTGCTGCACTTCTCCCGTATGTTTGAGTTCTTCGACAGGACTGAGACCAGAACCAGCCACCCCAACATCTTCCGCATCAGCAACTTGGTTCTTTACGTCCTGGTCATCATCCACTGGAATGCATGCATTTATTATGCCATCTCCAAGGCCATAGGCTTTGGAGAGGACACCTGGGTCTATCCCAACGTCACAGACCCGGAATATGGGCATCTGACCCGGGGGTACGTCTACTGTCTGTACTGGTCTACGTTGACTTTGACCACCATCGGAGAGACCCCTCCCCCTGTGCGGGATGAAGAGTACCTGTTTGTGATCTTCGACTTCCTCATCGGGGTCCTCATCTTTGCCACCATCGTGGGGAATGTGGGATCCATGATATCCAACATGAATGCCACCAGGGCAGAGTTCCAGGCAAAGATTGACGCCATCAAGCACTACATGCAGTTCCGCAAGGTGAGCAAGGACTTGGAAACCAAAGTCATCAAGTGGTTTGACTACCTGTGGACCAACCAGAAGGCAGTGGACGAACGGGAAGTCCTCAAGAATCTCCCCGATAAGTTAAGGGCAGAGATTGCCATCAACGTTCACCTGGAGACACTGAAGAAGGTGAGGATTTTCCAGGACTGCGAGGCAGGACTGCTGGTGGAGCTGGTGCTGAAGCTTCACCCTCAGGTGTTCAGCCCGGGGGATTACGTCTGCCGGAAAGGGGACATTGGGAAGGAGATGTACATCATCAAGGAGGGGAAGCTGGCTGTGGTGGGGGATGATGGAACGACACAGTATGCTCTGCTCACTGCAGGAGGCTGCTTTGGTGAGATCAGCATCCTCAACATCAAAGGGAGCAAGATGGGCAACAGGCGCACGGCCAACATCCGTAGCCTGGGCTACTCTGATCTCTTCTGCCTGTCAAAGGAAGATCTCATGGAAGCAGTCACAGAGTATCCCGATGCCAGGAAGGTTTTGGAGGAGCGTGGCCGGGAGATACTGATCAAGGAAGGGCTGCTGGATGAGTCAGCTGCAGAGGAAAGCACAGAAGGGAAGAGCATGGAGGAGAGGCTGGACAGGGTGGCCTCGAACCTGGACACGCTGCACACCCGCTTTGGCCGGCTCCTGACAGAGTACAATGACGCCCAGATGAAGCTCAAGCAGCGCATCAGTGCTCTGGAGTCCAAGATGAGGCAGCAGGAACTGGAGGACTTCTTCTCTGATAGCTCAGACAGTCTGCTTGAGGACGAGGAGAAAGCTTCAGCTGGTGGGATGCACTGAGGGGGAGCAGGGGTGAGCTGGATGATGTCTGCCTTGCACTGAAACAGTGTTTGCTGTTTCACAAGGCAGATCCTGTGGCTGCCTTGCCAAGGACTTCTCTCAGGTCCTCAGTGTTGCTGCTGCCACTGCCTTGATGGCAGCTCCTGAGATGGCTCCAAATCAGGGGATTGTCTGGGCTGTTCCTCTGTCCTATCCCTTTTTTCGTTGCCTTAATCTGTGACCTTGGACTCGGGTCACTAAAAGGAGGAGAATGGTTAATGCCACAGCTGACATTTCCTTCCAGCTCCTGCGAAAGGTCTGTGCCCATCACACCTCCTTCCTCGTGTTTGCCTTACTGGAGGGTGGGACATGAAGCTGTCAGGGAGGGGTATCTGGATGAGAGAGACCAAAACACAAGCCAGACATTTACAAATGCTTTTTGTGTTCAGCCTTTATAACTCGCTTTTGGTAATTAATCCCCACTGAGTGCCTGTGAACGCCCAGTCTGCACCGAGAGACTCTTTACTTTCCGGATACCAAAACTCAGCTGAGACTGGCTCAACTGTGCCTCCTGTGTCTGCAAAAGGAGAGGATTTCTGGGTCACTGTCACTGCCCAGATCGTCACCACCCATGCTGAGGCTGGACACCGAGCTGGCAGGACCTGCAGCTGCTGCCTCCTGATGCAGGAGGAGGACAAGGACTGTCTTTCCCCTCTGTCTGATGACAGCCAGGTGTGCCAGGAAGGGTTTGACTGAAATGTTTTTAAGGAACAAAGCCGTGGTGGGAGCCAACTGTGCCCGTATTTGCTTTGCTGTAGGTAGCTCAGAGAGAGCACAGAACACATTTATTTCCTTAGGCAGGAGGTTTCCTTGTACTCAGTGGGAGTTTTGGGGCTTTGCACGCCGGTTGCCTCCAGGAGGCGAAATGAGTGGCAGAGCCACGGGGACACGTGTGAGGGTGGAAACGTGGCACCACTGTCTGTGCCAGCAAAGCCCCTCCTGCAGGCCTGTGGGCTCCACGGGGTGAGCAGCTTGATGGTGAGGGGTGCAGTGCAGGAACAGCCCCCAAAACCTGCAAGCAGCAGTGATTTCAGCACAAGCAGCAGTGCCACCTGTGCCTCAGGGTACCGGGCAGCTGCTGGGACTGGAGGATGCAACCTCTTTTCTGGCTGCTGACCCATGTGTTGGCATGAGGGCCACGTGTATGGGGTGGGCTAGGGCTGGTTTCCAGCAGGAGAATGTTTGGTGGAGGAGGGAATTCATGTGCCGGGTCAAATCGAGCTGAGAGTTTGGCCAAAATAATGGGATGACACACAGGGAATCATCAAACTCAGAAAGCTGGAAAACAGGTTATTTCCTTTGTCCTTTCTTTTGCCTCCAGTGTGAGACTGCCTCTCTTCATTTCATATGAACATTTTCCTTTTAAAAAGAATAGCCTTGCTTTTTGGGATTGGTGGGGTAGGAACGGTTACGTTATCGAAATTAGAATTTGGGGTGAGATAAGAAGGTTGTGGTTTTTTTTATCATCTCTAAATTAAACTGTAGATTTTCTGGGTTTGGTTTTTCTTTTTCTTTCTTTTTTCCTTTACATTTATTACCCAGACGCTTTTCTTTGAAGCTGGGGTGGCTTCAGTCCTGCTTTTCCCCTACAGCGGCACGAGCCCTGGCTCGCAGCTTCCCCCTTCCCGGTGAGTTATCGCCCCTGAGTTTGCCGATGGCTCTTTGCGGAGCCCCCCGGGACCCCCCCGATCCCCCCGCACCCCCGGCCCAGCGCTGCGGGCGCAGAGGCGGGAGCGGCCGGCAGAGAGCGCTGTGGGCCGCGGAACCGCCGCGGTCGTGCGGGACCCTCGGGGCGTGCGGGACCCTCCTGGTGTGCAGGATCCTTGGGGTGTGCGGGACCCTCCGGGTGGCATCCTCCGGGGCTGTGGGACCCTGCGGGTGGGATCCTCCGTGCGGGACCCTCTGGACGAGACCCCCTGTGCGGAGTCCTCCCTGTGGGTGGGGGGGACTCTCTGTGCGTTACCCTTTGGCTGTGGGGGACCCTCCGGGCAGGCAAAGAACCCTCTGTGCGGGACCCTGCGGTTGGGCAGGGGGATCCTCTGTGCGGGACCCCGCGGGCAGGGGGTGTGTGGGGGGGGTGTCTCTCCGTGCAGGACCCTCTGTGCGGACGGGAGGACCTTTCGTGCGGGGCCCTCTCAGAGTGCGGGCTGCGGGGTCGCAGCCTTCGCCAACACCACCCCAAGTTTTTCCCGAAGCTTCTTCCACCCCGACCCGCGCCCCGCTCCGTGGGCTTTGCCTCATTTGCGGGGCTGGCCGGGGCACAGCGGATCCTCTGCTCCTGCCCGGATCGGGAGCCGCTAGCAGCTTTGGGCTGTCTGGCTTATTCCTGCGGACGGGGAGAAAAAAGAATCAAGCCCCCTCCCTCCCCCTCGGCTTTAATCCGAGATAATAATGCACTCGGGAAATTTTAAGCCTTCAGACAAATGACCCCAGGGGATGGCTTTGTGAATTCAGAGCAGATCCCGCTTGTTTCCTCAAGGCGGCAAGCCAGGAAATCGTGGATTGATGAACCGCTTGACGGGCCTGCTAATGAAATTAGCAGCAGCTCCATGATTTTTTTTCGGTGAGCGGGACAGGCAGATGTTGGAGGGAAGCGCACAGTGGCACAGCTGCACTCGCAGGCTGCCTGAATTCCCGGCAGAGCGGACACGGGGCTCAGCAGATACAGCTTTGGCTGCTGCCCGTCTCACAGGTGGCTTTTACCTTTCCCTGCTAAGGCTCTCCTGGAGATGGGGAGCAGAGGGTTGCCAAAGGCTGCTCCTCGGGGCTGGCATCCAGAAGGAAAACCCGAGGGTGCCCACTGGAAGGGTCTGCTCAGTGCCCTGCAGTGACTTTCCCACGCACCACAATGCACTGAACTGCTTTGTCCTTATGTTATTAATTGTTTCCTTGTTTTAGATCTCTCCCATTGCCAAAAATAATCCCCTGTGCAACAGAAGCTTTCTCAGCTGTGGGTTGTGGATGGGAGGTGTCAAATGTGGAGTAAATATATTGAAATTCAGAGAGGTCATATCAGGGGGAAATGTGTGTGCTCTACCAGGCAGCCACCCACCCACCCAGAGCCCTTGAAGCCCCCTGATTTCTGCAGCAGATGCTTTCTGCTACCAAAGGGTGCATCTTCAGGCCTCTCCTGCTTCTATCAGAGCTGCAGGAAAAGAGCTGGGATGCTCAGGTGAATCAGCCATAAATGTGTTGTGTGATACTGGGCTTCTCTCACCTCTGAGCGTCGTTTCTAGGAGTGAAATAATCACCCCTGGATGATACCCAGAAAAAGCTCTCTCATCGACCCCTGGGAAGTGCAAGTGCCCATTTCACAGCTGGGGAAAATGGATAGCACTCGCCAGGGCACAGCAGTGGTAACTCCTGCCTCCCAGAAGCCTGCTTTTTGTTTTTATCAACATGTTCATGAACAGGCCATTTTGGTGGTAGTGAGCAAGCCCCAAAATAGCCTCTTCTTAGGCTGTGGACAGCAGGGCTGGACACTGCAGCACGGGAGACCACCTGGTCTTGCCCATTCTCCAGAGGGAAGTTAGGCCAAGCAAGGTGCCAGCAAGGTTGGACCAGAGGATTTTGGGATTTCAGAGTGGCTTTGAGCCCGAGGTCTGGCACGAAGCCTGAAGTCCTGCAGCGCAGCAGGCTCAGCCAGGTGAGATCTGCTGTGGTGTGTGCAGTGCTGGGGGAAAGGTGTGAAGCCCAGGGGCTGTAGGGATGGTTGGCCCGTGGCTCACCAGGAGCCCAGATGCCTGTGGATGTGGTGTGTGCCGTGGCAGGAGCAGCAGCACAGCTGTTCTTGGTGCTGCTGGTCTGCCCCACAGTGCTGTGGCTCTGGGATAGTTGCTCTGTGCTGCTGAGATGGGGTCTGGCTGTCCAGTCTTGCTCTGTCTTGTGTCTCTCCTATGGACTAGCTGGACCGGAGTCTCTTGAAAATCAGGAAAGTTGGGAGGCAACTCCAAGCTCTCCAGCATGGGCCTCTTTGAGAACTCCCTATGTGGCTTTTCCTCCCCCAGCTCCTGCCTCCTCTGCACCCAGGGGATCTGAGGACAGCGAGTGGTGCCGGTGCTGCCATCCCAGGAGTGAGGCACTGCATGCAGAGGGCTGCTGCAAGCGAGATTCCACCCGCTCTCCAGGGGCTGGGATGTGGAGGTGGTGTAGAAGGTCACCAGCCTCCCATGCAGCTGTCTTCTGGAGGGGGAATGGCTTGCTCATGCTCATTGGGATTCAACAGCTCTGAAATCAAAGCACTGCCTGCCTCTCCTGCAGGTATGAGTGGGGCTCTAAAGGAAAGGTTCTGTGCTCAGCTTGTTCTCGTGGTCCACGGGTGATGGTGGATGTGCCGTGTCCTGGGGCTCCTCCTGTGAAAGGGCTCCAGCCCCCACCCACCCACACAGGAGCTGCTGCCACAGGGGGTGTGGTGGGGCTGGGCAATGTGCGTTTTCTTTGCAGCCCCTGATGAGCGTCTGAGGACCTTTTACGAGGTGTGATCTGCCCTTTGGAGGGGAAGGTTGGTGCTGAGCACCCAGCACACCATCCAGGCTGGTGGGTGCTGGGTCCCCCTCTATCACCCTGTCTTTGTGTGGGGCCTCAGCGTGGTGTGGGGGCCACATCACCATCCCCATGAGCACATTTCCCATCCACGAGGGGCAGAACCAAAGTGGATGAATGCACCCCTCTTGTGGGTGGCAGGAGGCTGCAGACCTGAACACTGTGCAGGTCCAGGCCAGCCTGTCTGTGAGCTCCCCTTCTTTCCTGGTGCTGCCTCCTCTTGGGTTAAACAGGCAGAAGTACCCAATCTGAAGCACTTGGGTTCCCGAATCCAAGCCTAGGTTGCCATGACAGCAGCTCAGGGTGATGGTGAGCAGGAGGTGAGGTCACCTCCAGCATCTCCCTTGGAGGGCTGGATGGAAGGTCCTGGGTGCCTTCCCAACACCTTTTCTCCCCCTGACCCCTGGGCTGGTGGTCCATGGGGGAAAGGCTCGAGCTGAGGAGGTGCTCAGTAACTCAGCTGGTGCAAGGTGGGGTTTGGGAGAGCCCATCAGACTCTTCCCACTGCTGGGAGGGCAGAGTTCAGACAAGCTGTGCCTGGGCAGAGCAGGGGGTGGGAGCCAGGCAGGGCTGCAGGTCTGAGC